AATCAGAGTGCTAGAGGACAGCCAGCTTTTTGCTAGGAGGATGGTTGTGAGATGGTGTTTTAATGGCTTTGTTATCTAGTTTGAAGACAGAATAGAGATTTTCCTCCTCCAACTCTATCTCACCTTCTTTTCTCCCCTCCTTCCCTCCTTCATTTTCCTTACACACATTTGTAAAATAAAGGAAGCCATGTAGCAATCTGGAAAGCCAAGGGGAAAAAAAAGGCCAAAAGAAAATCTCACATAAATGTGACCGCTAGTGACAGTATTTATTCAAGAGAACATGTTTCAAAATCTAGGAAATTTATATGTACTGAAAACAGACACTGCAGCATGTATAGAATAAAGACAGTTATGATTTCCGTAATGCATGCCTCATCACAATCTCCATTTTATGAGGTTTGTGCTGGTAGTTAACTATGAATTGTGGATTAGAGTGGGCAAAGAGTCATAAAGCAAAGGCGACAGCAGAAAGGAGGAAAGAGAAGAACTATAGGTTAAGGAAAAGAGTGAGGGGTAGGTATGGTGACTGTCATACTGAGATGGCACACAGCCAAGATTTCTCTTGAAGTGAATTATGAGAAATTATTAAACAGGAAAATGGGAGAGGTAAAGATAAGTGGTAGAGAAATAGGGTAAGGAAATAACTTAAAATAATTTTTTACAAAGATTTTATTTGTTTGTTTATTTATTTATTTAAGTGGGGAAGGGAAGGGCAAAGGAAGAGGGAGAGAGAGAATCTCAAGTAGAACCCCCCTGAGCGTGGAGCCTCACATAGGACTCCATTCCATGACCCTGAGATTATGAACTGAGCTGAAAAAGAGCTCAAAAAAAAAAAAAAAAAAGTCAGTCACTTGACTGAGCCACCTAGGTGCCCCTAAAATCATTTTTAATTTATTGTTGAAGGTTTGACATCCACATTATTGTATTCATTTGTCCAGGTAAGTAATATTATTAGAACAGACAAAAATTGGTATTTGGTAAAATGGAATATATACAAAGGACTTTTTTTTATCTGACAGCTAGGCAGTACTGTGGCATTTTAAAAAGTCATGATAGTGGGGTGCCTGGGTGGCTCAGTGGGTTAAGCCGCTGCCGTCAGCTCAGGTCATGATCTCACGGTCCTGGGATGGAGTCCCGCATCGGGCTCTCTGCTCAGCAGGGAGCCTGCTTCCCTCTCTCTCTGCCTGCCTCTCTGCCTACTTGTGATCTCTCTCTGTCAAATCAATAAGTAAAAAATCTTAAAAAAAAAAAAAAGTCATGATAGTACTTGGTATAGATCTAAATTTTAATGATAGAAGAGTCTCTTAAATCCTATGCTAGGTGTGCCTGGGTGGCTCAGTCGTTAAGCGTCTGCCTTCGGATCAGGTCATGATCCCGGGGTCCTGGGATCGAGCCCTGCATTGGGCTCCCTGTTCAGTGGGGAGCCTGCTTCTCTCTCTCCCACTCCCTCTGCTTGTATTCCCTTTCTCGCTGTGTCTCTATCAAATAAATAAATAAAATCTTAAAAAAAAAAATCCAATGCTAACAATATCAACTAAGATACATGTCCCTCTAGGCTATGTGGGGGTGTCTAATATTTTATAAAGCCTATGGATCATGTAGACAGGAAATTATTTTCCTTTATTCTTCCATACTTTTCCTACATTTACAAGCTGTAAGAAAAGTTGCACAGTATTTTTGAAATTAGATGAAATCAAGTGTTTATTAAATTTGTTGCAATGCAAAGTGATAATTAAAACAGATGGAAAGTTTAAAGTGGATTTGCTGTAATTGCTTTTTTCAGCTTCAAAAATGCAGTATAGGTCTTTGCCACATTCATTTACTTCAAATACATTCACTCAAACTTAAATTTCTTAGTACAATGGTTGGCATATGGCACACAGTTTTTAAGTTTCTTGAGTGAATAGGTAAGAACCCAGAAAATTGTTGAGGAACTGGAAAGATTCTGTTTTCAGAGATTTGAGTTCCCTATCACACACATAAAAACATACACACACACAATGTATATCAAAGTGTTCTAGTTCACCATTAGACTTTTATTTGAAACTACTTTCTCCAAGTATGTAATAATTAATTTACCAAACACATCCTTCCAGATTTAGATTCCCTTTGTATAAAGGTATAGAAATCCTCAGGTTCTTGGAAAAGATATGCCTTGGCGGAGCAATCCCCAAAGCTGGATTTTGGCTTTACATAATGATTTAATACACAGACATTCATGGATTTCATTTATATTGATATGATATATATCACAACATTTAATATTCACAGAAAACTAATTTGTTTTACATATGCTTAGTTTATGCAGTTAGCAATCACTACAAAGTACATATCAAACATTAACCTTGTTATCATTTCTGATTCTATTAAAATGTATTTGTAGTTCAGCAATTAGGTATCATATAATCTGAGATCATTTTTGAGAACAAATTAAAAACTAAAATATAACAACTTTCCTTTCCTTCCTAGTCTCAGTATTTTGGGCATAAGTATATGAGGAAATAAAATTAAAAATAAAATCTTTTCCCAACCCAGAAATCCTTTTCACAAAGGTAATGAAGCATTAAACACAGCATTAAACCAGAATTTGATGTGCATTACAGGTGATTAGGAAAGAGATTGTAAAGACAGAAAAAAATTTCACCTCTTTGTATAGCCAAACAGATTAACAGCCCATTACATAAGTTTTCAAGATAAACTATAACCACTTCTCAAATAAGAGGCCTTGGCAATATCATTTGCACACATAATTCATCTTAATTTTATTGTGTAATTGGGGTGACCATACTGTGTTAACTAATTACCTTTATCCAGAGGAGAAACAACCTTCTCTTATCTTTATGACAGAAGGTAGTTTTGCAAGTTGGAGTGATTTTCTCACTGAAGTTAGACTCTTAGTTTCCCATGGAAAGTGGGTGCTATCCCCCTTTGCTTTCTATGGCAGTATAATTGACATATTATATTGGTTTCAGGTTTACAACATAATGATTTGGTATTTGTATATATTGCAAAAGGATCACCATGTTAATTATAGTTCACATTTGGAACCATAACATAGTTAGTTACATGAATTTTTTGTTTTTAACTTGTGATGAGGACTCTTAAGATTTTCTACCTTAGCAACTTTCAAATATTTAATATAGTATTATTAATTATATAGTATTAACTATATATATACACCATGATGTACATAGTTACATACCCATGGCATATTTATTTTATAACTGGAAGTTTGTGCCTTTTGATTCCCCTCATCCATTTCAATCTTACTCCCAATCATCAATCTGCTCTTTGTATCTATGAGTTATTTATTTATTTAAGATTCCACATAAGGTAAGTGCCTTGGGTATTTGTCTTTCTCTGCCTTTTTTCACTCAGCACAATGTCATCAAGGTCCATCCTCAAGGCTGCAAGTGACAAGCTTTCATTCTTTTCTTCTGGCTGAATCAAATCTCATTAGGTGTATGTGCATCTGTCTATCTATATAGATATTTATATCTGTATATCACATTTTCCTTATACATTTCTGGGAACTGATATGTCTCTTGATGTTCACATTTCAGAGTGATATCTTGATTATCTCCCAAGTCTTTAAAGACATTTCTGGAATGTAAAGCTGACAAAACATTAGCTGAGAGAGACCTAACTAGTTTTAAAAAGGACGTTTATATATATACGATTCAAAGAAAGAAGAATGTATTCAACAATTACAGGTTTTCTAAAGGAAATGTTCTGAGAAAGGAGATCTCACATCTTTAAGAGGAAGAATTAACTCTTTTTTTTTGTTTTTGTTTTTACAGCATGTTTTGCTTTCTCTTGACTTTGAAAACTGTGGACAAGAAAGTCCAATTTAAGATTTATGTGTAGAGCTGTTCACTATGGTTAAACAACTAACACTCTCGGAAAAAAAGTATTCATCATTCTTCTTTGGCTTCCACATAATCCAAAATTTTAGAGGGGGAGGGTGGAGATGGAAGTTGACGTTAATTTGCCCCAGGCAAAGAATGTGGTTCAACCAATGTACAGGATACAATGCCTTAAAAAAGTCGACTGCAGGAACACACCCTCCATTAGTGACTAATAACACCTATCATACTGTTACAGATCACCTAGTTATCTTTGTTTAGCTCACATTACTCATTTTCCACCAAATTCTTTTGGTGAAGGACGCTTCTGAAACAATCCCCACTGGCAGAGCAAACCAATTTGGGTTCTTCGCGCATTCTAGACTCTGGAAGAGGTAAGGGCTTATTATTACATGGGACCACTCGTAGGACCTGCTTTAGGTTTAACAGCATCCATCCCAATTCCAGCATTGAGTGTCTAACCCTCTTTTTTAAAAGACAGTCTGAGGCACTGGGAATTACAGGAATGAGAAAGACACAGTTCCTGCCTTAGCCGAAAACCATTGTAAAAGTATCAATGTACAGTAAAAGGTCAATGATACTGAGCGTGAAAAGTGCGTATTCAGGGGTGTGGGGTCCGCGGCCCCAAAGCAGCTTCCTTTCTTTGCGATTCAGCTCCCGGGCTCGCCCAGCACCCCGCGGGCACACTTAACATTTTAATCACGCCTCCGCCCCCACCCTCCGAATTCCTTTCCGGCTGCCGACCCGCGGGGTAGTCCCTTCCAGGCGGCCCCAGCTTATCAGCCCCTGGCCCGGCCACTTCCCGGTCGCGGCCAGGCGAGCCTCCCAAAGTTTCCTGTGACGCCGCCGTCCGCCTCCCGCCCCATCCCGCCCTCACTCCCACCCCCGCAGCCCTGGACTCCGGGTAGAGAGGAGCGGGTCACAGGGACCAGGAGGGCAGTACGAACAGGAGGACCTCGAGACCCCACCCGAGCCGGGTAGCGGACCCAGAGGGCGGCAGCCAGACGCCCACGCCTCCCCATCGCCGCGCCCGCAGCCCCAGGTCCGCGCGCGCCCACCTGGCCTGGAGCCCGAATCCCACCCCTCCGGGTCCAGGGCCAATCGGCCGCGCCCCGCCTCCTGGGAGGTGGGGGAGGAGGGGGTTGGGGGCCGGGCGGCAGCTCCCGCCTCCAGCTGGTGCCCATTGGCTGGGGCCTCGAGGGTGCCCGAAGACCGGAGTGCAGTTTGATTGGCCGCAGAGGCTCGTGACAGCGGCGCCCATTGGCTGTGGTAGCCCCCGTGACGCGGGGTGGCGACTGGCTCCCGGTTCTGAGGGGCTCCTGCTTGTCAGGTTCTAGGTAGGTGAGTTTCGCGCCGCCCGCGGCTGGCGCTGTTGCCTGGGGCAACGCCGAGGGAGGTGGGGGAAGTGGAGGGCAGACAAGCGGAGAACGGGGGCAACACTCCCTGCCCGCAGGGGGGCGCCTGGGACTCAGCCTTGGCTGCGGCGGCTGCGCCGAAGGCTCTTCCTCCGCCCTCGGCCACCCCCCACTCCCGCCCCAGGCTGCAGGGTCTCCCGCCCGTCCTCCACCCGCGGCGGAGCATTCCTGGTTGGGGTTCAGGCCGGGCTGTAGACCCGGTCCGGCGAGGCCGGCCCCTCCCACCAAACCCGGGACTGGAGGCTGAGGGGGTGGGTGCCCGCGCGAAAGGGCTGAGGCGAGCGCAGCAGCCCCGCCCCGTCGCCGGGTCGGTGGGCTGCGGGGTGTGGGGCGGAGTAAGCGCTGCTGTGGGCACCACCCATCACGCCCTCACCTCCTTCTCCTCTAGTGCTTCTCTCCTGGCGTGGTCCTCCAGCTGGGGTGGCTAATCCCCAACCCCTAGGTGTTCCCTCAATGCCATCCTACCTCTGGGGCCCTGAAGTCTTCCTTGACGCGCGGAGCCCGTCCTCAGCCCATCTCCCAAGCATCAGCTTCCCGGCCTCCCGCTTTTGTCCCCCACCTTCAATCCCTGCTCCTGTCCTGGCCATAGGTGACCCCCAAGACATAGTCAAGAGAAAAACTATTAAGTGTGAAGCTCATGCAGACGGGCAATTTCTGCTCTGTAATCTCATTGCCATTTAGGGTTGAGGAGGTGTTTGGAGACTTAGTTTTCTGCCTCTGTCTTCTTACTATCAACTTTCTGAAACGCTAATTGCGGTTGGTAGAGCCGGGCCGGATACGTCGTGCACAAATTAACTGTGAGGTTGTAGTTTTTTACTTTGTACGTTTGTGATCTTGATTTTTAGTGCTGTGCAGTCCCAAATTTAATAATTTATTAAGGCTGGTAGCCTTTCATTGTCTTTCTTCTTAACGGTGAAAAGAAAAAGGGCTTTATCTTTCTTTCTTTTCTTAATTCGTAAGTAGCTGCGCGTATTCTTAGTGGTCTCACTGTCACTTTGACATAAACTGTTCTAAAGGGGCAGTAGTACCATTTTCCTCTTTCCCAGGTATTTTAAGATAATAGAACAATATCCCCAGTGAAGGCACTATGTATTAAAGTGTTTTACAGAAAAATTAATAAAAAGCCAAAACTATTTTAGTGATTAACACTTTAACCTATGGAATGGGAATAGGATTTGAAAAAACCTTGCAAAATGTAATTATTTCACGAATGTAGTGTGGTAGTCTTGGTATACCTTTATAATCCTTAGAAAGAAATATTCAAGAAGCACTCATTTGTCAGAATGCAAAGGAAGACTGAATGTAATTTTTGGTAATCCAGGAATCATTTTTGCTAGTACTCTTGAACCAAGAGAACTATACTTCCAAAGGTACTGAGAATATATTAAGAGAATAGGTAGGCATACTTGGAAACCTTTCCCCTGTTTTTTCCCTGAAAGGCTTTTGGTCAAGATCTGTTTCTTTTCTGCACTGATGGTAGGCAGCATTAGATATATACCAGGTAAATTATTTAGGGTCTAGTTAATGCAGCTTCTGCACTACCTTAAAGGTTGATGTCAGTAGTTTGGAAGTAATAGCTCACACTTTTGGTAGACAAATCACTTTCATTTCATCTTCAACTATTACATTGTTATAACTCTGGCCTGTGAACTTTCAAGCTGCCATTTAATTTTCTTTTTTATTTTACTATGAAAATTTTCAAACAATGAGGTAAGTTTGAATTGTGCAGTAACTACCCAACCACCTACACAGCAATAACAGTTCCCAGATAGCCAATACATATAGTAAATACTAAGGAAAAGGGGACCTGAAATGATCAAATTTGAAAACTGCATAAATATATAACATACCATAATATTGTAAGGAGCTTAATTTCGGCTTGCGATGGAAATAGTGTTTATAAAAACTATAGTGATTTAATTTCCATGAGACTTACAAAGCAATCTCGTGAGTGAGTAAGAAGTCATGTTTGTACATCAGGGCCCAGATGAGTAAGTTGCATTTTGATAATAAGAAAAAAAAAAAAGAAATCAAATAAACTTGTTATATAAATAAGAGCTTGTTTTAAAATTGGACTCCTATAGTAATAAATGATAGTTTTGTACTTGACTTTTGAATGAGCATCTTCCTCTGAGGACAGGTCTAAAGGACTGTCTTTTTGGATTATTCAGTGTTTTGATTATTAGTGTTTATCGATTACTCAGTGTGTCAGTAATAAACTTTTTTTTAGTAGGACTAAAAAGCAAAGTAGAACTTTAGTGGGAACTTTTTTTAGTAGAACTATTTCATGGACAATGAAGTAATTATCTAGAAACATTTAAGTCAGTATTTTGATAGGACTCAAAACTATCTTGGGTGTTGTTTCATGGTGTTTCTAGAAGAATGTTTTAACACAGAACTTTATAATGAAAGAATAATAAATGAATATAAGTTGATGTATATGTATATTTGTAATTTTTCCATACTTAGGAAATTTCTGCATTATTTGAATCCTGCTTTTTAGTTTTAGTATACCCTAAATGTTTTTCATCTTTAGCTCATTTATATGACTAATTTCTTAAATATTGAAATTAAGAGCTATGTCTCAGAATCTATAGATCTTAGATTGTCTTGATACTTTTTCTCCATATCTCATTTGACTTTGGCATGTATGGTTATGTATGGTTAATTTACCACACTACCTGAGAGATTAAAAAGAATAAGCAGGTGATAGTTTTGGAACTTCAAAAAGAATAAGATGTTTAAATATTTTTTAATTGAAGGTCCAGTTTTTTTTTTTCTTTTACCTCCCTCCCTCCCTCTTTTCTTCTTTCTTTACTATTTTTATCTTTTTTAAAAAAAGTTAAATGCTTTAAAATCAGCTAAATAGACTATAAAGATGGGGTGCCTGGCTGGCTCAGTCAGTAGAACATGGAACTTTTCATCTCAAGGTTATGAGTTCAAGCCCCATGTTGGGTATAGAAGTTACATTAAAACAATAACAACAGGGGATGCCTGGGTGGCTCATAGGTTAAGCGGCTGCCTTCGGCTCGGGTCATGATCTCAGGGTCCTGGGATCGAGTCCCGCATCGGGCTACTTGCTCCGCAGGGAGCCTGCTTTCCCCTCTGCTTCTACCTGCCACTCTGCCTGCCTGTACTCTCTCTATCTCTCTGACAAATAAATAAATAAAATCTTAAAAAAAAAAACCCAATAACAACAACAAAAGAGTATAGAGAAGAAGTCACCAATAATTCCATGATAGTTAATACTTTGGGAAATTACTGAAACTTTTGTTTCTTCTGTAACACTCCACCTATCATTGCAGTACTATGGTCTTTATTACAGTATATCTGCACCTGCACCTAAACTTGCAGTTCCAGAACTTGAAACTTGGGTACCCTAATATAAAAGAGGGTTCCACACTGGGTGTGGTGCGTAAAAAATGAATTTTGGAACACTGAAAAAAATAAAATTAAATTTAAAAAAAAAAAGAAGAAGAGGGCTCCAAGATCTGAAGGAAAAATGGAAAACAATAAATAGAGGACAGATTAGAGTCAGAACAAGAGAAATTAGACAAGCAATTTCCCACTTTTTCTTAGTTTATAAATATAATCATAGTTCCCCATGTGAAACTGCTGTATGGCTGACAAAATATGGGACCTCTCAAGTTTTTTCTTTGTGTTCAAAATATCTAGGTCAGATGAAGTTTACTTAGTGCATTTCTGTAAAAATTTTCAGATTTCTCCATTTGGGAGCATATTAAATATTTAGCTTTATAAAATTTATTTTATAAATTTTATAAGACTATAAAATTTATAAAATTGTCATGGATGACTTGGAATTATTTCTTAAATACTTATATATACTTATCAAACAATGACTAATATTTAGTCTATATATCCTCACTTATTATAAGCTTGATATCATTTCCTCCTTTTGAAGGTTTTAATTAAAATACGAATATTTTTAATGTAGGTGTTTTTTGCCAGGTTGCAGGGTGTAGTGAAAGAAGATTCATTTCTTTTGGAGCTAAACTAATCTGGGTTTCAGTCACAAATCAGAATTTCCTTTTGTGGGATCTTGGGCAAGTTATGTCATCTCTTTAAATCATAGTTCCCTCATCTGTAAAATGAAGATGGTAAGATTGCCTCACCAGGTTGTCATGAAGAATGAGACAATCTAGGTAAAATATCTGAATTTAGGAAGTTCTCAACTTTCATATTAATTTCCCTACATGGTAGCTTTAATTTTATCTCTCCTAGTATTTCTGTGTTTTATTCTACCATCCTAAAAGTCCCCAAACTTTAGACTTTGGATGTTTAGTAATCTACATTAAGTAAATCAAATGACATTTTTTTTTTTTTAAGATTTTTTTTTTTTTAATTTATTTGACAGATCACAAGTAGGCAGAGAGGCAGGCAGAGAGAGACAGGAGGAGGAGGCAGGCTCCCTGCTGAGCAGAGAGCCCGATGTGGGACTCGATCCCAGGACCCTGGGATCATGACCCGAGCCGAAGGCAGAGGCTTTAACCACTGAGCCACCCAGGCGCCCCTCAAATGACATTTGTATGTATACAAAGGAAATAATTAGTATTATCTCCTATTAGCTGTTCTTTTATAGTTCTTCAATTGCCATGTCTCAGTAGGGGTAATTGGAAATTAACTTTAAATGCTTTTTACCTCAAAATATGTCTAGTTTGTCTGAATTCCTGAATTATTTTTCTTTCACCTTAGATTATCATCTGTTGGTGGATGGATTCCCAAAATTCCTTTCATTTTAACCACAAATATTTTCTTAAAAGTGGTACAGAAAAGCTAAATGTCACTTTCTTAAATCTTTAACTAGTATTTCTTCTTTCCTTAAACTGCATTTACTTAACCTGTATAAAACTTAAGCTTTATTTTTGGGGTAATAGTACTTAAAACTCTTAATGTGAGTCTTT